GAGGTCTGCTACTTAGACTTCCTAAAGCGTTCGACTCCGTCAATCATAGGCTGCTGATGACGAAGTTGAAGGCTTTCGGGCTGCCTCCGTGACTGCTAGAGTGGATACGCAGCTGCTTAATAGGCCGGAGGTTTGTTGCGAGGGTAGATAATAGTACATCAAGCCAGGAACGAGTGCTTAGTGGAGTGCCACAGGGCTCTGTCCACCGCTTTTTCTGCTCTACATCAACGACCTCAGCACCAACCTAGAAAACCGCTGCTACAAGTTTGCAGACAATGTAAAAATCGTCGGCAAGTCCGCGNGACAAAATATACGCGTGGTCAGTTAAATGGGATCTGCCTCTGAATACTCTGAAGTGTCAGCAGCTAGTCAGAACTGGAGGCACGCAAGGTGGCAGGACACTGGGACCCCAGGATCAGCCCCAACAGATACCCACCGTATCCACAGCCAAAGACCTGTGTGTCCTTGTTAGTGCGGACTTCAAGCCCGGACTCCAGTGCCGAGAGGCAGTAAACCGGGCGTTCACAGCCTTGCACCAACTAAGACGTGCGGTAAGCTCTAGGAAACCCGAAGTCTTACTCCCACTTTACAAGGCGTATGTGCGTCCGCACGTCGAATAATGCGTCAAGGGTTGGAGCCCGTTTCTGATCCAGGACATAGAATCAGTGCAGCGTCGCTTCACCAAATGGTTTGCAGGCTTAAGACATCTTTCGTACGAGAGGCGTCTTGAAGTCTCAGACCTTTTCTCATTAACCAGGCGTAGGCGGCGTGGGGACTTGATCGAAGCGTACAAGATCCTAAGGGGGGTTATGGACGTACCAGATGGAGTGCTGCTCAAGCTCAGTAGAACAACGAAACTGAGAGGGCACACTCTGAAAGTGGTTAAAGATAAAGTGAGAACTCGGCCTAGAGCGTTCTCGTTCGAAACGAGAGTTGTGAATGATTGGAATAGACCGCCGGATGAAGTTATCGCTGCCAAATCGATAGCAGACTTCAAACGCAGACTGGACATGGTATGGACCTAGGTGTTTGAGAAGGGCGGGGACTGAGTGGAACAGTCTGCATACAGCTGACTCGGGACCGCTATCCATTTATTGCTAAACCTCCATCATCGCGCGCGTTTTGAAATTCGGGGCCAGGAAGAATAATTAAATAAGGAGTGAATAATCTGAAGAGATTCGGACGTTTTACAGGGATCACTGGATAAAACTAACGGAGCAGGCAACGAGATCAAACAACGGACCAAAACGGCGAGTCACTCCCAATCCACGCGGTTTTGTTTCAATTCTTTTTAACTGTGTATCGGTGCTGTCAAACATTTCTTGCTTCTATCATTGGTAATAAATCCTTATAGAATTACTTGTTTTTATACAGGTTATTTAAATGCCACCGAAAACAGATATACCAAAACTGAATATCACGCCTAGTGTGCTAAGTAAGACCAACCTAGCTACCACGAAGTGTATCAGATGTAAAAAAACAGTCTTGAGCAGAAGCAATTCTTTGAGCTGCTACATGTGTAATCAATGGTGTCACAGACACTGTGACGAAATAGTAACTATTGTTTTATACAATGTTTTGGTGCCCATCCTACAGATGCAATGCAATATGTATGTTGACTCTGCAGACAGGCCAAAAACAAAACGTTCACTCAGCATCTAGCTACTCCGATTACCGAGTCTATCCGCCGGGGTGAGAAACAAGTAGATAGCTCAGGAATTAGGTCACGCCACGAAACCTCATGGTCACCCAATAGGACAATGATCCTCCAGAAGCCCCTGACAAGTGCACCAATCACTGTGTCGACACCAAAGTGAAAGCCGATCGCCTCTTTGAAACAGAAACGGGTGCCGAGCTTAGGGAAGAATAAAGATCCCTCCAAGCTGCAGTTCAACGATCTCACCGGGTGACCAACTCAGCGCAACCAGCTGAACAACAGGAGAGACTTGAGTTAAGGCAAGTGTCCAGAGGCACCTGCACGCTCGCATTGAAAATAACAACATGCGACAAAGAAGCGTCATTATCTTCGGAGTGCCAGAGAGCACTGATCAGTCTCTTAGAGCTCGGGACAAACAGGTTGAAACATACATCACTGTTGTATGCCACACGGGTATACAACTTGATGTAATAAAGCATCACAGACAAAACAGTAGTAACGCAACTGCTAAACTCACGCCTCCAGACCAATAAGACTGGAGACTGCAAATCCGAAAGGTGCATTCTTCTTCGCTCGCCCATGCTGCATACTTCAGATTGGAGTCACATAAGAATAAGACGTGACCTCCAGTGGAGCGAACGCCAGCAGAGGCGAGACGCTAAAAGGCAGAACGACGGCAGTGACTCCCGCTTGGTCATCGTACGAGGCATACCAAAAGCTCAGGGGGAAATTATTCAATGCCTGCAGGACAGCAAACAATGGGATTACATTCTGGAGAAATCCAGTCTGTCTGATGTATTAGCTGAACGTGTGATAATGCTACCTAGGCCCGCCCAACTCAGCGCATTGACTTTGCCTAGGCTCATCAAAGTAGTGCTTTTCGACGAGGGCATGAAACACAACTTTGTGCAGGGATGGCGCAAAGCCAAATATATCTTCGAAACCGAGATAAAATGCCACGAGAGCCGACCACGAGAGGAGAGCGTGGCCATGAAGGCGGTCTCCCCATCAGTAGTGCTATCCCGGCAATAAACATATCTCCTATTTGGGAACCTGAAAGGAGCCGTGACCTCAACCATTACTCCAAAACAGATTAAGTCAAAAAATGATTAGTATCCGGTCTTCTAGAGGCCGAATCCAGTCGACTGGAAAACAGAACAGTGAAACCAGCGTTTACCTGCCAAACGGAGTGAACACCGTGCATATACATTGACATCATAAATAAACTCCCAAAGTTACAAACCTCGACATCAGTCAGCAATCCTTGTATTATAGGTATCCGAGAAACATGGTTACACGAAAGGATTCATGACGCAGAAATATGTCTCCCGGGAATGCACAGCTACATGAAGGACCTCATTAGCTCTATGGGAAGAGAGTCATCCTTTACGTAGCACAAAATTTGCACCATGAGCAGATGACTGGTTCACAACTGAACGGTTACTCAGAATCAATGTGGGTTTCCTTCAAAGGTTGTACGGCAACTTTAGTAGGAGTAGTTTACAGACCGCCGAACACAACAGCCCCAAAAGACGCCAGCATATTGTTGTCTATCAGCAGAGCTGTAGAACTAGGCCATGTTAACATACTGACTATGAGAGATTTTAATCTCAGGTCTATCCATTTCGCTACCCACAATGTCGCCGGTCCAGCGGAGTCCATACAGACTCGCATTCTAGAGGTATGTACTGAACTAGGACTAGTGGAGCACGTACAAAGACCCACCAGGTGGTATTCCGTAGGAATCTCATACAAGCTCCGTTAAGTCCTTACTAACGACCCGCTGCTAGTGGACGATCTAGAGATACTGAATTCACTAAAAAGGAATGACCATGATACGATCATTTTCAAATTCCTGGTGTGTACCACTAAAAAATAGATCAGTTACTCGCAGGGCGAAACTTCTACAGGGTAGATTATAGGAAATTTAACAGAGCATAAGCAGCACTTCCCTGGATGGAACAATCAGGTGAGGCATCAGTTGACGACTTATGGTATAGAATCTTGAACAATCTACAACTGGCAATCCACGATCTACTTCCTCTGCGCACAGTCGAACCCAAAAATGAAAAAAGAACTTGGCTCAGGAGCAGGACTAATAAATTAATCAACTTAAAGCGATCATCTTGGATTAGATACCAGCTGACTCATACGCTCAAAGATTTTGGGTCTT